ATAGGCAACTAAAATTAAAATAATAATTTTTTTAACAATTTGTTCAAATATACCATTGCCCATAACTGAAAAAAAAAGCTCTTTTGAGAACGAGATAAATTGTTTGAGTATGCACGTGCTGCATATTTATTTAGTACTTACTATTGCTTATTTTATAAATTATTGTATTTATGTATGTTTCTATTGTTGTAGGAAAGCAGCAGTGATAGTGTCCCAGGGTACATTCAGTAAATTGGTCAAGCTGTCAGTTGAAGAATGGAAAGCAGAGGAAGGAGAGCAGAAAGTTCAAGCAGCAAATCAGAAAGTTACAGTAAGTACCAATTACATCACAGAGACGAGTCTCAATTTGTATATATTTGGCTTTTTGACAAAAAAATATGATACAGACATTTTTGTGTCATTTTATGTGTAGCTGTGAGTTAAAAGGTAAAAACTGAGTTTTTATCAAAATTAATAGTTGAGCAATGTGGCACGAGGCAGTTTAAGGCTTCTTTTTGTCTTTTCCTCTTACTTGAATTATTTTGGGAAGTCTACTTTATAAGCAACTAACCATTTTGAATCTAGACGTAATTCAAATGCCTTATTATCTTCTAGGTTGGTGAGGGATATGCAAGCAGCTATATTGTTGTTCACCCTGAAGAGAAGTTCTCCGATGAAGGGAAGAAAGTCACCTTGCAGATGAAGATTGACCCAGGGTCTTCAGAGATTGGCATTTATCGCACAAGCAGCTCAAATTTCGCAACATGGACAAAAGTGGATGCAGAGGTGAATGATGGGATTGCACAGTTTCAGGTAGCGGAGGGTGGAGTCTACGTTGCCCGCACTGTTCCGCAAGTTGGTCTCATTGTGGGAATTGTGGTCGCCATTTTGGTTATTGTGGCGTTGGTCGTTGGAACAGTGGTGTACTTTAAGAAGAATCCCAACAAATGGAACAATATTCGGAGATCAACTGCCAACAGAGTGTGAAGTAAATCAACAATTTTTTTGCATTTTTTGGCTGAATTTTTTGCTTTTGATTCAGAGCTTAAAGTTGAAGAAGAATCGGCTGCCTTCTGGAAAAAGAGTCAGATAATCTAATATGCCACGTGTATATATACATATATACATTTTTGGTCTATATTGAGTCTTACAATGTCTGTCAGTATTTTACTGATCTTTACTGACAGACAAGAAGTCCAGAAATAGATTCATGAAAAATTGTACATATTGTCACCACTAAATATCTAAGTATTTTCATTGAAAAATAAGTAACAGCTCTTGAGAAGATTAATTGTAATTAGAGAAAGTACAACTTAACTAATTGCCTTTACAAGTGATTGTTTTTCATGTCCATTTGGATAGCTTTCTTGTCTCTGTAGTTGATAGAAAACATTTTAGGAAAAAATGTCTTACAAAATAAAAAAATTCAAATAAGTCAAAGGAGGTTAAGCAGGTGAAAGTTGGTACAGTGGTCTTGTAGTAGTAGACAATCTAATTCAGGGACTTACATACTTATTCAGCATTCTCTATGGTTGTCATCAATTAAAAAATGAAAAAAAAGTCCCAGAAGGTCATTTAGACTTACAAATACTGTGAGGTTGTTATATTATTTATGTGCAAATTGGGTCTGATACTATAACACTGAGGTATTCACTGAAGTGTATATTTTTTTGTGCCAGAAGGATATTACATATTTGTAGATCAAAGTTCCTGATGCCTACTGCTGGTCAGTATGGTTTGTATAGAAATAAATTTTGATAATGTGAATCGGTGTTGATTTGTTTTTTAAGGGTAAAGGTGATCGCGCTACACAAAGAAACGTGCTCACATATGTCATGTTATCACATCTGATATTTAAACATGTCACATGCTTTTAAGCGACGCGAAAAGAGTAAATTTGGACTATTTTTAAATGTAGGAAGAGAATATTGTGATTTACTGCTGATTGCTTTAGTTGCGACACCAGCATATTTTTCTGTAGTATCAAAAACTATAAAAGAGCACTCGAGCTCCAAGATGAAGGTTCACGAGAAATTTACCAAACTTGTTCTACTACAGTTGGGTCTACCCCAGTTATATGAAGTAAATACCGGCTCTTCCGCTGTATTTTTAAATACAATGCAGCAAACACTGTCCTCGGCACATTTGAAGCATTTTAGCATTTGCGGCTTGTGTTTAATAATTTTCATTTATGATCCAACTACCAAGCTAATGGACATTTTTGCTCCCGCCTTCTTTCAGTTACTTTTTCATGAGTCAATACACTACCTGGCCTCTTCCGAAATGCGGACTAGAGGTGAGTGTGTTTAGTAAATTCCTTAGTTACAATTACACAATTGATGCAGTCCGATAAGCTGTGCTTTATGAACCAGAACTGTTTTACATTATTTCCACAGAACCAGTCACATATTATTCTTCGTTTATTTTAGGGAGAAAGGGAGACGGGGGTAGGGGGGGGGGGGGGGGAGGGGGAAGGAGGTACAGGGGTCAGTTTTCGCAGATAAGTGTTTTTGGGCTACAGCACTGTTTAAGCTATTGGTCATGCCTTTCTGGAGCCTCTGAATCCGGCGTCAGCTCATCAAGCAAAAAAAAAAAAACTTAATCCTTTTTACTGCAACCGAAATATCATTTAGGTACATACGCGTATTAACTCCGCTGCATCTGCTCTTATAAGTGAGGGAGGTCGAATAATGCCTCAGTTAGATTCTTTCCTATGAAAAAAAATACTATGACATTTTCTGAGAAAATATTACGTAATCGATTATAATTATATTAAGGATGCGTGTGGTTCACCCTAAAAGAGGACTGTGCGTTATCACTATTTACATACCTCGCCTTGGTTTTACCAGTCTGAAAATCCACCTGCACTATATAATTACTAACTTCAGGGTTGTAAGCCACAAATACGTGTCTTAATGACTTGACCTGAGGACTCAGCACGACCAAAAATTCACGTAAAGTGTTATTTATATTAATGATGTCACACGGGTGGCAGCAATCTCTTAACGTAAATTATAACCACGACGGTGCATTGGAGATTTTAGGTAAAACGCGTGGACTGTTATGAAGTTAAATTAAATCTCTAAACGTGTCAGCATATAATTTTAGCCCATTCGGGTGTGTTTGTTCTAGAGTGAACTGGGCAGCCCCATCGTCTCTATCCTCATCACTTAAAAAAAAATTACTCACTACGTGTGTCCTGTTTTAATACTTATCTGTAGACTTTCGCCTGTCTGCTTAAACATGTTATGCGGTTGATGAAGTTTTCGTGAATCCTGTTCATTATGCTGTAAGTGAAATCCCCATGAAATCAACCGCAAAATAAAAGCTACAGATTCGTTGGGTGTCGAATTGATATATATTTTTCTTTTGTACGGGAAAAACGGACTTTAATTATTGTCTCCACAAAGGACCAGTTAGTCATAAGTGTGTAACTCGTCACGTCCAATATCCAGGGCCTATAATAACCGATTTTGTTAAAACAGACCAAGTAAATTTTTGTATTTATATCAAAGCGGACTACCAAATACTTCAGTCTTTACTGACAGTTACTACCTTATTGATGGCCGCTTGTGAACACTGTCGGTATGGAGTTATTACGTAAACAAAGCTGGCAACAATACAAGGCCGTGGGTCCAGCGCAGAGAGATATATCGCAGGATATCACGGGATAATTTGAAACATAAATGGAATTCTCAGTCAAAATAAAGAGAGCTCTCGCAAATGGAAGAATGGGTAACTGATATATTTCCACGACTTTATTTCTTGAGTGAGCTCAAAATGGCCTTAGCCTTTAAAAAAAAGTGTCCTAGCAACAGAAGTCTGAAGCAGCTTATGTAAATCTTTGTTAATTTCATTTTAGGCTAATAGGGGATGGAGTAAGCCCTGGCATTAATATAATGTTATTAAAAAAACTCTCTAGTTGCCTTTAGTTTACAAAATGAATCAAAGTACACAATTATGCGGCATACAAATTATTACTTTCTTTTCCTTATTTCTACTTTTCTTTTCAGTAATTTTATTGCAAGTTTTTTTAACCTGAAGAGGTTCATTTAGCTTCATCTTCATATACCCTGTACAGGTCTTCTTGTATTCTGTTCCATGAAAAAAATTAAAAAGAAAAGAAATTCAAAAGGAGGGGGAAGGATTTGGACCTTCCCCCCACCCCTCCCCGCCTCAATGTACCTGACCATGAGCGTCATATTGAACCTAATGCTGGTTTTGCCCTAGTCTTAACATAAGTCACAGTGCCTTTATTTATATTCCCAAAAAATTTTGTCTTTGTTTTTCGCAAAAGATCACCATGAAACGTACTGTGGTATAACAGCACCAGCGACAATATTTATAGGGAAAAGGTTCACCTTGAGAACGCCCGTCAACAAACGCTGACGAGTGGCTCAGCCTTGCTCCAGGCGACGCCATTCCCAACTACGAGTCACGGTGATTTTTGGTGCGTAGGCGTCCGCTCCTCGCTTACGTCTGATGATTTAATCCAAGGACCCCATTTCGAAACAGTTTGGTATTTATCGAAATGGATAAAACAGTTTGGCATCAACCTCCGCATTACAAAGGTTTGACTTTTAAATTTCAATCCGTTAGAATTATGGTGCTTGGTTTCTGCTACCAAACCTTTTTACACTCCTTTTTAAGCGGGTATTGCCAACGTGTATCTTTTCATGCTTTTCAAGTTTATCAAATATAAAAATAAATTTTAATATAGGCCTAATTGTTTTAAAATTGAATAGTTTTAAATAGAGTAGTCCCATTTTCAACGGCGTAATAGCAAAGCTGTGAATAGGCATTGGATTTTGAAATGACAGAGCGAGTTCACCTCTTTTGCTCAAACGCCAGGAGCGCAAAAATGAATATCTTTCTCACTGTGTTTTAACCTACTGAATTTCGCTTGCAGCAAAATCGCTCTGGTTTTTAAGTGCTTTCACATGGCATCCACCACTTACACGGATCTTTAAAACTAAGCGTTTATAAATAGCAGCCAACTCTCCCTACTTCCGCGTCGTATAGTATATAGGCTACAGTTAAAATAATCGACGTCAAACAGGCGAGTTTAATCTTCTTGAAGCGGATTTACGCTTGTAAGGCATAAAAAAGCCAAACGTGCTGTCGGAAACTGGCAGTAAGTAACGGGACCAAGACGGAGACAGAAATTTAAACTGAAATAAACAAGAGAAAGGGGAAAGTTGACATATCACGAAAGGTATTTTCATCTCAAACAGTTTTACATCTTACATCTATATATGTTATTTATAAAGAGATGCTAATTTTATAAACTTTGACTGTCTCAGGTTTGTCTCAGGATGGTAGAAAGGAGAGAGATAGAGAGTACGAGCATAAAAACGAAGTCTACCTATACATCTTTGTATCATGCATGTTGGCTTTATTATTTTTTTCACGATACATCATGTAATGTGCTACTGAACACATTCCTTTAAATTCATGAATCACAGATGTTTTAGTTAGCCGTTTTTCTTGTATTTCTACATTTTCATCTTATGTCAGTTTTCTGTCATATTCTTTTCAGAACGCAACATGCCGAAAGCCTGCGGTGTCTTGATATTTGTGCTGTACTTGTATCAAGCCATAGGACCAAGTGTGGGGTTTGGATTGGGAGGAGTTTGCCCGGACGAGCACATAACCTGCTCTTGTGGCCAAAACGGGGCAACTATTCAAGTGAATATCAAAGCGTAAGTCACCGTTTTATTGCTGTCTTCACCCCCACTTTGAACTGGGTTTTTGAAGTTGTCGAGTAAACACACGCCTGGGCACACTCACGAACTCTCTCTCTCTCTCTCTCTCTCTCTCTCATCTATTCTGTCTCTCATACACACAAACCCCCACAAATACACACTTTCACACATATCCACGCGCGCATAAAACACATCTAGAGAAGACTGCACTGACAACACGCAAACACGCACGCGCGCGTGCGCACGGACAATTGACCAGTGCGTCATCCATAAATTCACCGCAACTCATCGAAGTTGTTCCTTTACTTCGTATTTACAATTATCATCAAATAGTATACAAAATTTTGTAGCCTGGTAATTAATTTGATGTCGGGTTTGGTCCAAAAATCCGAAACATTACAGTTTTAATTCGCAAATTGACAAATCCGCAGCAACAAACCTTGGATTGTGAAGTGACACGCGCACTTTAGCTTAAGTGTATTAGACCTTCAAGCTAAATGCGCCTCGTACATGGTTTCGATAAAGTTAACGTAATGCAAATTTGCCTTAAGTTATTGAATATCCTGTTTGGGTATACTGCAAAAATTTTTTATTGGCGACACAAATAATAAGTTGCGAGAATTTACATAAATGAAAGACAATTGCAAAAAGGCAAAAAAAAAATTAATTAAAATACAAAGCTATGAAATGTCTTTTTATGGCCAACCGCAAAGTTACACGACTTACGTTCCTAATTGGTAACGAGGAACTTACACCGTTTATTACATGCATTTTCCCTATTCCTAAATGGACCTGTGGCTTACATATCCATCGCTTTTTACTTAACACGTAAATGATTATGCTCAAGCAATCGTAATTTTTGTCTATTTCCTTGCATTTTGCCAGACATGAGTCTTTGTATACCGCAAAGTGAAATATGCAGTCATGACACAGGTCTTCTTTTATTCTCAGTTAACTTCGCAGACATCGTTATTTCTTAATGACACCAAAAAGAGAACAGGGGAAAGAACAAAAAATAATTGGTTGTGTTGAAAGCTTTTAGTCATAAGAAGTACATACGTACAACAATTGCAAACGCACACGAAGTAGGAAAACAACTTAAGGGAGAAAGATAAGAGAACGAGTGCACTTTCGATTAACAATTCTTTTTAAAAACGGACCCACTCCTTCATTTACGTGACAATTGTTGTTGACAAAAATATGACAAGAAAAAAATCACAGACCAGCTGAAGTAGCAGACCTACCGCTAGGCTTCATGGAAAAATCAACTTGAGAAAAACAAACAAAGAATGGCTCCGAAATGAAAAAACGTCTATTGAGAATTTTTGCAGCACCATATATATACGTAGGGTTATTATCTCCATTTCAATAACCTACATAGGCTTTTACGAGAAACTAAAAAAACCTTTTCTTTTATCATTTCAGTTGTGTGCATTTCTACCGTTGGAAACCGTACTGCAAGATATGTGACAAGGATAGCTTTAGCAGCGAGGCGGAGTGCCAGAAAAGAGAATTCTGTGCCACGTGTAGCCCCAATCAGGGAGAGAGCTGTGTCTCTTGTCCCCCCGGAAGGTTTGGCGCTACTACGGAGTGTAGGGGAGGTACGTTGATTAGCCACGCCCCCTCACGAGGCTTGATAATTTTGATTACACTTTTCGACAATAATCAGATAATCAATTGATAAAGAATAAGGAATAGAGTAGAAAATAGTTTTAAAAAACAAATGAGGAAACAATTAAACTTGTCATTTTGCTTATGGCACGCAGACAAACCTTTAAAATGTACACATTAAATACTGTTGAATCTATTGAGCTCAGCTGTCTAAAATTCGTAATGCTGCGGAAACATTATGTTCTACACTTTGGGACAACGTTATAAGATTTTTCCCAACTGGCCGATCATTGAGCTTTGATTCTGCAACTAAAGCGATGCTTGTGCCTCCTTTCTACGACCACAGCGATACCAGTTTCATGGTCGCACAAAGGACACAGAAAGGACGACGTCCCGTGTATCGGGGGCTTAACTGAACACTCCTCTATCCGGGTTTCCCGATAAAGCTCACTCGTCTTTTTCCATGTTCGCTGTCATTTCTAGACACAAACGGTTGAAAAGAAAAACAAAAGAACCGTTTTCCGGACATGAAGCACGAAAGAAGGCCAAGGCTAAATGAGTTAAGGTTATCACATTTCAGGAAACGTGCTATTCAAGCTTATACCCATAATGTTGTTTTATGAGCCTTTCAGTAACCCAGGGTGGCATTTTCTGGAAAGACTTTTCTTCTTACGCACGGTTAAGATTTATATGGGAGTTTCTCGTCCTTAAAGAAATTTTTAAAATAATAATAATAATAATAATAATAATAATAATAATAATAATAATAATAAAATATAATTTACTGAGTAATAAAGTGCTAACAGATATATTTTACAGCTCTCTATACTGCTAATCTTATATATTGCATGTGTATAAAAATACGCAGACAATTAGATAAATAAGAAATGAGGATTGGAAGGTAGTGCTGACTTAACACAATTTTCTAACCCACTAAATCATGATGGATATACTGAGCATTTTATTTGTTTTGTTTGCCTGAAAACCATTTTCAATTTCTAACCCCCCAACGTCACTTAATCACAATTTTGTCAACGCTCAACAGGAAGTTATTCAAAACAATTCTACTAAGAGAGTGGATTTTTTAAAGTTTACTTTGTTTCTTTTCAGTTTGTCAATGTCAGAACGGGGGCACCTGTAATACTTTTGACGGCAGCTGTTTCTGCAGAGATGGTTTTACTGGCATTCACTGTGAAATCGGTTCCGCTCCTCCTACAACAACTAGGCCTACTACTACTTCTACTTCTACTACTACAATCGGTAAATAGGACAACTTCATTCGTGCTTGTATGATGGATGAGAGAGAGAGAGAGAGAGAGAGAGAGAGAGAGAGAGAGAAAGATAGATTGTGAAAGAGATTATACGAAGAGCGAACGAGAGAACAATAATTAGCATTGAACGGTATTGCTATTATTGCATTTTAAATTGAATTTTATTTAAAATCATTAAAACGTCCAAGACCAGTATGAAAGTTAAAAACTTAATATATTTTTTTAGCAACAACCGTCGCCATCACTTGTCCGGCTTTACCCAACCCTCCCAATGGTCGGGTGTCAGCGAATACTGCGCAGGCTCAGGGGTCAAAGGTTACGTACACCTGTTTCCAAGGATACCGATTAGTTGGTCCTTCAGAGCGCACTTGTAACGACGGTGTGTGGAGCGGACAGCAACCACAGTAAGAAAAAATATATTGGATAATCGCCCATTCTAACGATTATATGCAATGTTTTTTTGTGCTATTTACAATAACATATACATAAATTATCCTAAGCAGCAATAGGGCATTTTTGAAATTATTGGATAAGTGTATCTTTGATTTACAAGATTTGCACTGGCTGAATTGAGATAAAAATAATTGCAGTATTTCCTAAATGATCCTAAATCACTGCCGATTATACAAGCGTCATAAGAGTTAAAGAGGCGAACAATCAGTGCACGGTACTATTAAAGTACCTACATAAAAATAAAATCATATCTAAATTTAAAAAATCATTTTCTGAGCTTAAAATCGTTTCTTCTTTGCAGTTGTGAGTTGATCCGTGTGACATGCCCTACGCCTACAGCGCCATCTAACAGTAAAATCAAAATCACTAGTGCTAGAGAGGAGTACACACCAGGGATGAGGTAAGAGCAATTTTAAAGTGCGGAGAAAAGGAGAAAGCAAAGGAGGCAATGGGAAAAGAATGAAAAAAGACAGAAAACGTGAAAGAAAATGAAGTTAAAAAGAAACAAAAGAAGAAAGAAATTAAAGAAATTAAAAGAAAGATGAAAAGGGATTAAGAAAAGAAAACGTAAACGATACTTTTCGAAAGTCATACATTTTAAATAAAAGTAAAAAGTTCAGTTCTTATATACCGCACTCAGTTTACAATGGACGCCTAGTCGTCTTTTCCCTACTAATGAAAAGTGTCCTGGCGAGCTGGCCAATTATGTAATGAAAAGTTTTTATACTTATGTAATGACATCTTTTTGTAACGCCCAAATCGCAATCCGCAATTCCTTGATTCGTGTCAGATTTACGTAAAGTCGCTCAAAGAAAACCCAAGGACACATGATGATCTGTTTAATGCTTTATTTGTTGACGCTCGCTAGCTACATAATCTACGTGAAGTCTCTAACTTCTGAACAATCTCCCATGGCTCGCGTCCGTCCTCCTAAGCCTCCTTAAATCTCTCTCAATCTGAACTCTCAGATATTACTTCTGAATGTCTTATATACAAATTCCTTATCTAAGGTGGATTCAATGTTGCACTATTTCACGGTACATACTAATTTTAATTACTCTAATTGCACACGCCCACTTGCGTTAATTACATGTTAGGCCATAAAGCGAATCGAGTGCACAAGCAAGCTACTCCTTTAAAATTCACTATTAAGTCTGGGTATTATAATTGTTCGCAGAACACCCTGATACATGTAGTCTGGCTGTAGACATTCTCGCCTCCCTGGGGAGGATGCATATGTTAAAGATATTTTTCGGAATTTTTGTCTAACCGGTCATACCACTGGCACATTTAGATATTGTTACATGTATCAACTTAAAAATAACGAGGCTCTTTTTCATGTCAGGGTGGAATTTGTGTGTGATAGCGGCTACTCACGACACGGCGCCGCCCTGGTGGTAGAATGCAGTACTAGCGGAAATTGGTCCTCTACCAGCGGGAGATGCAATCGATGTAAGTAGAAACGGGAGTTGAATAATTTGATTGAGCCATGATAATATTTATATACTGTATATTTTTGCGACAAGATATGTGCATCTTTGATGCTAATGGACATTAGAAAATATGAGAAAAAGCTTTGTTTGATATTCTTTGACTTAGAGCAATAACCGCACGCTGCCAGCGCTTGATTGGTTTGCGAACTTTTGCTTCCCTGTCTATACTTTCCGCAAATTACTTAAAGTGACAGGCAATGATGACTCCTGGAGGCGTGTTTTGATGGAGTTTTCGACACAAAATGTTTACTTCATTTGGACGTGCTTTAACAAGCAGTACCTTGTAAGGTTGTCTCCAGTGAATGTTTTGAAGTATTACGTGCATCCCGACTGAAATTCATTTCCTTTCTTTAGTTGTATTGTCCTAACTCAGGAATTAAAAAAGCCGTGATGTTTTGTATTCACAGCTAATGAATGTATTACGCATGGTATTTGCAGCCAAATAATAATGGCTTTCAATCGCGAAAGTCACTTACTTTTGACGCAAAATCTCGCCCACCGTATCTTTATCTGTAAAGCATTTATAGAAAACCTTTATTATTCTATTTATAAACTGTTTTTTTTACGTAGAGACTTTATATATCAAAATATATACCAAGAAAAAAAACATAATGTCACTGCATATTAATGCCATGCCATTTCTAATTTGTACTATTTTAAATACATTTTTATCACCATTTAGTCTGATCATTTCAATTTTATTATCCGTAGTCGTGACTTGCGAAGATCCTGGTCTTCCCAAAAATGCCATCCGCCAAATTACTGTTGGCCGGTCAGCTAACAGCGTATTCGGGAGGTAAGTCTTGGCAGATAAACGTACATTTTATAAGTCACTTTATATCTAAAGGAACGGTTAAAGGGTGCTTACTTCAGCAAAAAAAAAAAAAAAAAAAAAAAACACGTTAATGGCAAGGCTTTTTATTCCTTTTTCTTATACAAAACAATTTTTTTCTATGTTAAGTATGAAACATCTTTCTAACTTTTAATTTCGATATTTCGTGAACCTTGACTGCCGCTTCGTCTTCATGTAAACCATCCTTTAATGACTATTTTTGTTTTAATGAATAACATCGGGTTTTTGCAACTATTTTCCTTTTTTTTCAGACTGGCCAGAGGAAGAGGAAGGAGCCGCCTAGGGTTTGTATCAAGAAGCAGTAGCACCCCTCCCCCCGCCATCGAGATCCCAGATTCCCAGGTTCCAGAGGGGCACTTCAAGCCTTACACCACCCTGGTTTACTCCTGCGAGTCCAAGCACTACCAGCTCGTAGGGGGCAAAAGACGCGTATGCCTGTCGAATGGTAGATGGACGAATAGGCAACCAGCTTGTGTACCAGGTAGGTTAACAACCATTCAGCTTGTGTACCAGGTAGGCTAACAGCCAATCAGTTCGTGTACCAGGTAGGTAAACAGCCATTCGGCTAGTGTACCAGGTAGGTTAACAGCCAATCAGCTTGTGTACCAGGTAGGTTAACAGCCAATCAGCTTGTGTACCAGGTAGGTTAACAGCCAATCAGCTAGTGTACCAGGTAGCTTAACAGCCAATCAGCTTGTGTACCAGGTAGGTTAACAGTCAATCAGCTTGTGTACCAGGTAGGTAAACAGCCAATCAGCTCGTGTACCAGGTAGGTTAACAGCCAATCAGCCAATTGCATTAGTTAGGTGAACAGCCAGGTTGTGCACTAGCATAAGCTTGTGTAGGTTTAGTGAAAAAACAGCTTGAACAGCTTAATTCAATACTGCTTTTTTATATGATACGAATTCAAGAAAACATGCTGCATTAAAATTCAAGTAACTAGACAAGTTCTAGGATACAGTTTTAAACTTGAAAAAAAAAAAAAAAAAAAAAAAAAAAAAATGAAGAGAGCGCGCGCGACAAAAATGTAAATGTAATTTAATTAGTTTGATCGAAAAAAAAAAAAAAAAAACTCCAAAAGTGGTTCAAAGAGCCCCGGCAAGATTCAAGACTAATAGCCATACCTTTCTTTTCGTCATTTTCAGTGTGCGGTAAATCAAACGCTCCTAGACTTCCATTCATTACAAACGGAAACGTCACCGAAATTGGGCAATGGCCGTGGCAGGTCGCCCTCTACAGGCAAACCGTTGACAAGGGGATGGCACTTATCTGTGGAGGCGTTCTTCTCAACGAGAACTGGATTGTGACGGCAGGTAGGTTGTTGGCGATCCCTGGTTATTTGTCTACTGGCCTTTCTATTTGAATTCAGTTACATCAGTTCTAACGGATGAACGGAATTGTCAGGGATCTTTCTTATGCTGCTGTGGACGTGCCCCCTTCCTTTTGATAAAACAATGTTTTTTTAAAATCTATTGTTCATGTTTTCCAACAATTTCATTCAAATAGTTCTTAAATTTTATATGAAGTATTCAACACACATACTGGTGTTTACAAAGTAATGTTATACATTCACAGCAGTGGACAAAAATAAATAAATTTAAAAAATAATTAAAAAATAAAAAATATGAAAAATAAATAAATAAATAAATAAATAAATAAGGCAACAGCCAAGTGCTAAGTTGTGATTGTTAAGCAATGCCGCATGCAGCTTGTTCATATCTTCCATCCATATTGCAGGGCACTGTGTCGTGGAACCAGGGACGGCATTTGTAGCCTCAACAGCCTCGTTCAGGATAAAGCTAGGGAAATATTACCGAGACGACAGCTTAGACGATGAGTTCGTGCAGACATTCCAGGTAATTTGGTATTATCTATATTTGCGTGGCATGCCAGAATGGACAGAATTATTTAACACATGGTTGGAAATTCAAGAGAATAAATCCAGTCGACAGTGTACAATACGATAGGCTTTGCATTGTGCTATATTTGTAAAGAAATAAAAGTTTGCTTTCCTGTCACCGTGGAATATGTGTAAAAATAGTAAAGCTTACATCTTTTGAGCAACGTATTTATAAAACATCTTCATGCTACAAGGGGGAGAGCACATTCTTAATACATTCTAGATTTAAGGGATTACTCTTCGTATGAGGTCCACAATTCACGATAAACACTTTGGGAACAACTCATAGAAATATAATACATTCTATTTTACCACCAAATTATTCTGGAATCTGTGCTTGCCATCGAACCATGTGACCTCTGTAATAATCTCTAAGAGTTTATTATTACGAACAGATTATTATTATCATTAACCATTGGTTAGTTTGGGAAAATTTTTCGTTTATCCCTGGAAAATCCATTTTTCGTCAAAATAAACTGTTGTTATCCCTTTAAACAAATCAATTCAAAACGCACAGAGCCCGACATTTATTTTCCCGTTTTTTTTTTTTTTTCAGGTTGAGGAAATCCACCTTCATCCCAGCTTTGAACCTCTCTCCCTTGACGCAGACATTGCTCTGATGCGCGTTCCAGACCCGGGGGCGGTGTTTACCGACCGGGTCCGCCCTGTTTGCATGACTGACGTTGTCAGTAGTGACACACGGGTGAAGGCGGGGAATAGGGGCGTGGTCACGGGTTGGGGGAAGAATGAGAACGGGCTGTACTCCGACGAGTTAATGCAGGCAGTCATCCCGGTGGTTGATAGCCAAGTGTGCGAGGAGAGCTACGTGACATATGCTGGTATGTTTCATGACATTTCGTGACGCAATATGAAGGACAAATAATGTGTTGGTGTGAAAATCCAAGAAAAAAGGATTTTTATTAGTGGTTCAAAACTTTTTCGTTCATATATTAATCTCAGTTTTCTCCATTTATTCAAACTATTGTATCAGAGAGCAGTTCCAAGAGAAAGACGTCACCATCTTTCGCCATTATGAGAACAATCTTAACTCATGGTTAAAATTGCCCTTGTCAATAAGTAATAGATCCTTTCTTAATAGTATTTTTAACACAGTCAATACAAAAATGATTTCATTAACTTCATTCACGAGTTGTATTTCGTATATATTTGTTGTAGCCAGTATGTGAACAACAAGCATAATTACAATCGTGTTCTATTTTGCCACATCAGATCTAGCCATGCCAGTGACCAGCTATATGTTCTGTGGGGGGTACGCAGAAGGACAGTTTGACGCCTGCTCTGGAGACTCAGGAGGTCCCTACGTGTTCCCGTCTGGGACAGGTATGTGAATAAGTGAAAAACTCGTATTATCAAGAGCTTAAAAAAGTTAAATTTGTTTCTCAAAAAATGAAAAAAATAGTAACATGTGTACGTGATGCTTTATCTTTTTCTTTCCAAATGTTGAGATTTCAATTGCACAAACATAAACATCTCTACTTTTTTCCCCAGGCGATTCACTTCGTTGGTACTTGGAAGGTTTAGTCAGTTGGGGCAGTCCTGACGGATGCGGGAAGGCAAACCAATATGGCGGCTACACACGTGTCTCCAGATTTATCGATTGGATGAAAAATATCATGTGATGCGTTGCATACGTTTGATGGGAAAAACACGTATATGCGACTCACGTTTTCTTTTCATTCATAATGGATGATTTCAACAAAAATGATTCTAAAAGAATACATAATGTGATATTGGTAAAAGATTGTAAATAGACTGGTTTTATCTAATAAGAAAAAAAAGAGAAAGAAAAAAACGAATCAATGGTAAAGATTATACTGTATGTCAATACAAATTCAAAATAAACAATGAATACTTGCCCAATGAGCAATTCAAATAATTTATTACAAAGACCGCTTACATCATACAAGAATCCTGGCAAAGCTGTTGGCCATATTGGAACAGGTTTCCAATATCTCTGTTGTATTGCCATGAGAATTTTATATCAAAATAGCATTTAAAGGCTCTGTGACTTAATATTACCATTAGTAAGTTATATTAATATGACCTGTTATGGCTTTTTTTTTAGAAAATAGGGAAGCCAATTAAATCAGAAAGTAAAATACCGAAACTAAGATCGCATTCACAACGAGTTGAGCCAGGCTTTACAAATCCTGGGGACTAAATATGGCAGATGTACATGAAAGAAAAACCGCCTAATCTTTTAATAGTCTCTCCGCCTCTCACACGTCTCCCCACACGTCGTCCCTGAAGGGTACAGTCATTAAATCTCGGCTCCGTTCGCCATGAATTGAATGAATGAATTGGCCCGTAGAGCAGCTATGAATCGGGATCAAAATCGTGAAAACACCCCCCCTTCCAGTTCGATCAGGTGTAGGGAACAAGACAAACATCAGCATCAGAACAAACTGCGCCCCTTGATGAGACTGCATACGCAAAAATTCTGCCCTCCTCCTCCGTCTACTGGGGCTGGGTATCTCCATGAATATCTCTGTGAATATCTCTGGTGACATTATCTCCGTAGATAGCCGATTCATTGCTGCTCTATGGGCCAATTCATATCTTTTTCGTCTCTGTTTTGAAAGATAATAGAACAGAAGAGCTTTTTTCATTCGATCACCTCCAGCCGCCATGCTTTCTTCACCTAGAGTTTAATTGATGAGCATGTGCACTTAATATTTCTCAGGTAGCTTCAGCATGGCGAACGGAGTCGATGACTGTACCCCGCAGGGACGACGTGTGGGGAGGCGTGTGAGAGGCAGAGAGACTATTAAAAGATTAGGCGGTTTTCCTTTCATGTACGTCCGCCATATTTAGTCTCAGGATTTGTAAAGCCTGGCTCAAATCGTTGTGAATGCGGTCTAATTAGACCTTCTGAACCCAAGATAACAGTACCAGAAATCCAAGCAATTCAAGTAGAGAGGAACTACTAGTGCTCCTCTCTAGTAACAGACAACTGATTTCTACTGGTAGAGCAGATTGTATTGTATGTAAATAAATTATTTTTACTGTATATCATAAAGGGAATTTTCTTCGTTTTTTTCCTTATAGTTTTAGTTTTTTGTTGAATAAATTAAAATTTATTCAACAACTCAAGTATCAGCAATTTTTACAATTCTTCTTTAACATTCCAGCATAGCTTATGGGCACAAGTATTTCATGGTGCAACATATTGCTTTTACCATAGAAGTAGAGAACTACTTCTATGCTTTTACTAAATTACTTTTTTTTCTAAAACCTGGAAATAAAGATATCATACATTCCAGTTACTCATTAAAAGACAGAGAGAGAACTAATACAAAAAATCAGAAAACTTTTCACTCAATCTTCTTGCCTTGCACTTGCTTGCTTAATAGTTAAAGGGATAATAACTCTTCGTATGAGGTCTATATTTCACAATAAAAACATTGAGAATAACTCACAGAATTATAATATATTCTGTTTTATGACAAAAACAGCAGTTATAGCTATTATTCTGATATCTGAGCTTGTCTTCAGACCACGTGACCTCCATTTAAGGCTATACTCTGTTATAATCTCTTAGGAGATTTTAACATAAAACCAAACTTTTTAGAAAAAAACCAGGGACTAACTTTGAATGTAAAAATGGATTCATTAACCACTGGTAAGTATGGGAAAATTCATTTTTTTTGCCAAAATGAAGCGTTATTATCCCTTTAGGTTATCAATTTCTATTTCTCCCTACTTTACAATAGGTATATTAATACTGGTTCCTACTGAATATGCGTCTTGTCATTCCAGACTTTATTTAATTTTAATATATCATGTTGTTTCAATTCAATTATACAAAAAAAGAAAAAAGCTGCATTCTTCTGAGCGTCCAATCTTGAAGGCAGTTTTTGCATCTACGTTTTGTCAGAATTGGTTCCTGCTGAATAATGTTTTTGAATGGCCAACCTAATTTGAATTGTTTTATTTTGAATAAATAAATAAATAAAGACAACTGAATCATGTTCTGGGTAGTGAAGACTGTCCATCTCCTTTATAGTAGTTGTTGAAGTTTAACCTTAAAAGCAGCTCCTGTAGATGTTGTTGGTACCCACGCAATGCCAGCTTGTTTACAACTTAAAAAAAAAAAGAAATAAAACAGATCAGGAAAAGACATTTCACAGAAACAATCCAAAAGATGACAGAATACAAATAAGGTAGGTCAAGCTTGCTAAAATAATACAGCAAAACCGATATAGTTTAAACAATATGGTGAATCTTTAAAAACTTAGACAAATATTAAACTTTGTTTTAAAGTTGTAAACAAATACACACAAAACAGCTAAAATCTGGAGCATTTTTTCACACCAACCTTTGAAGAGGAAAGTAGAGAACTCCTTGAACTGTTCGTAACTGTGCACCATGTGACTTTGTGCAGGGTGGTAGAGGGAGCCACTTTCCGGGTCACGTTGCCATGGATATGACACTAACTGGGTACGAAACTTCAGAATGAGGCAAAAGATGTCTTGTATAATCTTCATGACTGGTTTTGCCTTAGTTGTTAACAAGCATCTGAATATGTAAAATAACAGAAAATACTGTATCTCAGTAATATCTCAATAAATAAATAAATAAATAAATAAAAATATGAAAATAAATTTAAAAATAGACATAAAATAATGGATAAAACAAAATTGTCACAAAATGAGGACTTTATGTCTCTTGTATTCAGTGATTCATTTTAAATTAAAGATGAAGAGAAGCAGACTGCAGGGATTGTTGTAGAATCCATTGGTTACACTGTACTCCATGATGCCCGGTTCTTAATACTGTCTTTACGGTCTTTCCATATTTTAGTTAATATTCTGCACACAGATTATAACCACCCAGGTCACAAATGCATAAACAAGTAAGATGAAAGCTCTCAGAAAAACTATCATTTTAAATAATGTTAGGGAAAATTCTCTTGTTAATCATTCATCACATGTTTCAGACTCCACGTACATATGTATTCTTGTCACACAGTCTGGAATGCAACCTCCATATTCTTATCATGCCTGTGCATACATCATTTGAACAGTTTGTCTGTTCATTGCTCTCACAGTGTGCCTATCTCGGCAAGGGGAGAGACCTAGAGCAAAGTTGTGAAATCAGTACAATCAAAAATATTGTTTGAAAGCAAAACAGAGCAATTAATTAAGCTGATAGCATTTCTTGGTACAGAATAGTCATTTGTTTTCATTTTGTGACCCATAAAAAAAGGAACCAAGCCAAGAACACACAACTGGAAAAAAAATGGACCAAATAAAATGAACTGTGTTCCAACTTTTAAATCAAGCCAATTCTACTCTTAATCAATGAATAAAAAAATTTGTTTGGTTTAAAAAAATTCTCATAGACACCAAAATCTGACCAAAACACAACTGTGAACTGTTTCAAAAGCTGCCTAAATCAAACTGTCAACAAGTTGTCAACCAGAACATTCCTGTGTCCACATTATTTGATCCATTTTCTCCAGTGTAAACCAGACATGTACAATGTGTCTCCTACTTAAGTCAACATTTCATCAGGTCGCTTATCAGTAGGGAGGTACCTGGCAAGGGAAACACTTCACAGGTAAGCTGCATAGGGTGATATAGGGCAGGGATCGCCAGGAAATATACACCTAGATGAGGTATTGCAATCAACTTAACCAACCACAGTCTCATCATAGTGCAAAAATTGCTTAAGTTTTTTCGTTTTTAATATATAAGCAATTCAATGAAAGAGGGTTATCTCGGGGGGAGGTAACAGTAATGAGAAGTAGACTTTGGGTAAGTTGTAAGAGTGCAGTCTCACTCAACAAGATTCCTAACTGTCTAAAAAAGGTAACATTCCTCACACTTTCAGCTTTTGCACACTATTATCTATCAATGCAAGTATTTATTCAATGATTATGTTTGAGTGTTATGCAATGTGAAAGTACATAAGTACCTAAAAATATCCTTAAACAAATCACATAAATATTTATATTGCATGTAATATGCTAATAAACAGTGTAATCAGTAAAATGTGCTCTGTATTAGGGGTGCTATATACCATAGAAATACACTTGGGAATCATTATACAACAGTTTAATTATTAGGGGAAATCTTGTTTGGACATTTCAAAGCTTTAATTTCAGATCAGATCTATAACAGATCAGATTGAGATTGCTGAACTCCAGTTTGCCAGCAAATGCCATTAAACATCATAATAGTAATACTATCCTTAACTCAATAATAAATAAAATTCAACTTTAACTTTCTAGCAGCCTGCATCGCAGCCAGTACCACAATGTCGTCCTCCTACACTGTATCCAATTATGGCACCACTGACCAGAATGACGTGTCCAATTCGGACGTGAAGGTGAAGGTGTTCAGCGACCAGCCATACGCTGGGATGGACAAGGACACGTTGCTACGATTCTCTCAGGCCCCATTGTGGCGCCACTTGAGAACGGCCATTCTGAGTGTTTATATACTGGGCTGGTTGGGGATACTTGGCACCATCATTGGGTGAGAAAAAGACATTTTGCTCTTACTTTAAAAAGCTTGGTTTTATTGAATTAATAAGCATTTAAGGCCCCATTCAGAATAAAGGACTATCTAGTCTGAGGGTCAAATATGGCGACCCACTAAAAAAGCTTGCCATCCAATCTGCTGATAGACACTGAATAGATATCTCTTGGGGAAGTATTCAAGTTGGTAGGCCATATTTGATCCCTGGACTAGTAAATCCCCTATTCTGAATGGGGCCTAAGTGTCAGCTATTATTATACTCAGTACAAGCATCATAGTTCAGCAATTATGTTCACGCTGTCAAATGGAAATGCTTAAACCTTCTATTTCACCCTCAGTGTCAGTGTTGTGTACCCACGTTGCCCAGCCACTCCCCAGTTGGAATGGTGGCAGAAGTCCATCGTCTACCAGATCTTTCCTCGTAGCTTCCAGGACTCTAATGCTGATGGCAAAGGAGATTTGAATGGTAGGCAGGAAAATGAGTTTCACAAAATGGCTATGGGTCCTAAATCAGTCAAAACTTTTAGTCCTAAAATGTGGTGTACATGTATATAGCTATGACAAATTATACTGTTCATTTAAAAAATCTTTAATGTATTTGGCAGGTATCGAGTCCCGTCTGGACTATATCAAAGACCTTGGCGTTGGTGCTGTGTGGATGGGCTCCGTCTATAAGAGCCCTATGAAGGACTTTGGCTATGATGTGTCTGATTTCAAGGATATAGATCCCGTGTTTGGTACACTGGATGATATGAAGAGTCTGACAGCAAAAATGAAAGAAACAGGCAAGGATTAAGTTTTAACCAAGCTGCAGACCATCGGAAAATTTTTCATTTTTTTCAAAATAAATACAATATGTAACATAAAATAATGGAAATATATTTGAACTGATGTCATGCTTTTGGTTGACTGTTTTTACGATCAAATGCTGGACTAAATATTTTCACATTTTGTGAAATACTTGGAACTAATCTTAATATATATATTTTGGAATATTTGTGTATTGTATCCTTATGTTAGCCTTACTGATAAACCCTGATCAGGTTCAACACACAGAACTAATTTTTAACCAACATGTACTTTTTATTAAGAAAACGCCACATGAAACTTTGGAAATTTATATCTTTTCATCATTAAAAAAAATTTTTTTTTCGATAAGACACTAGAACTAATGCATACACTACCAATAAAGTGTGCCTATCATTTTATCTTTAACTTCTAGTATGATGTGGTCTTTTAGGTCTCCACCTGATACTGGACTTCATCCCCAACCATACCAGTGACCAGCACCCTTGGTTTAACAACAGCCGCCATGCCACTGACCCCAGTGACCACTACTACAGTTACTATGTCTGGAGAGACTGTGGGAATGACACATACAGGGACTACCCTACCAACTGGGTAAGATAATACAGACTATCCTACCAACCGGGTAAGATAATACAGACTGTCCTACCAACTGGGTAAGATAATACAGACTGTCCTACCAACTGGGTAAGATAATACAGACTGTCCTACCAACTGGGTAAGATGGTAGACAAAGACTATCCTACCAACTGGGTAAAATAATAG